TTATTGGAGGCCATTTTTTTACACATTAAACTGTAATGACAGCAAGAAAAAGGAGACTTAACCTTCTTCTACAACCTGTATAAGACTTGGGTGGATGCTCTGTCTTGCCTTGAAGTTCTTAATCAATAGGAAATACATTTTACCATGTTCTACTCATGCTATAGACACAAAGGATAAGCTCTGTTTTCCAACAACTGTTAAATTAGTCAAATAATAAGTAATGATGTACTAAAATACTGTGCTAGGATCTACAGGATCGTACTAATAAACCATTATTCCTGTCTTCAAAGATTTAAAAACCTACGGGGCAGCTAGGTGGCACAGTGGATAGAGCATTGGCCCTGGATTCAGGAGGACCTGAGTTCAAATCCAGCCTCAGACACATAACACTAGCTGTGTGACCCTGGGCAAGTCACTTAACCCCATTGCCCAAAACAAAAAAACAAAAAACGATTTAAAAACCTAGTTGGAGAGATAAGACTAACACACCTGACCCAATCCATGGTAGACAGTAAATATAGTGCTAATGTAATACAAACCATAAGTTTTATAGTTTAAAACTGACAGAAATGAAGTAATGCTTCAAGAAGATGGGCCTTCAAAGATGGGAAGGCTTCATCCACATTGCTCTTTTATTAAAAAAAAGAATGAAAACACATAACCCATTAAAAACAGTCATTTAATATATGTCACTATCATTATGGAACTGGCTGAGTCTTCTGCAGTTTATTCACCTTAATATTTCTTTTTAAAGCAAACAAAAACATCTTTCTAGTAACAGTGAACTAATGCTTTTATTTTTCCTATTAATCCTTAATTTAATAACTATTATTTTCTTCTTTCATCTTTTTAAATTTTTTTCTGATAATAGTGTTTATTTTGAAAGCTTGCCTATATCACAACTGTACAAGTCATAAAGCAATAAAGTTATATTTTTAACTAATCTGAACACACCTCTTTACCATCATCTCATACAAAAAAATGCTTGACTTTCCAATAGATGTCCACTTGAAATGCTTGGCATGATTCCAGAAATTCATTCACTTCTAATAAATGGATTTCATCTTCAAGACTACATAATAATGGGCAATATTTTAATAAGTTCATATGCTGCAAAATCCTTAGCATATTGAAGCAAACTATCTTAGAACTGAAAAGAATCTTAATAATCACACAACACAATTCAATTTGTTCATCTAAAACAAGAGAGTTAAGACACAGGGAAGTTAAGGTGATTTAACCATGATATCACAGTGGGAAAGTTCAAAAGGGGAAAACAAATAAACAGACAACTACAGTATATTTGAGTTGTAAGTCTAAGGTCAATGGTTAGACTGAGATCTTTGCAAGGAAAGACTATGTCTTATTTTTATCTATATACCTCCCAGTGCCTAGAAAGAATTTAAATATTGGAAAAAGGGAAGGAATACACGCAGCAAAAAAAAGAAAAAGAAAAAAAAGGGAAATTGGTGGTATTTGGTCCAACACTGTTATACTTAATAATGAGGAGTCATCTCTTTTGAAAGGAATACTTCAATGGATTTGTGATCTTCTATAGGTGGGTATTTCCTCCACCAATGCAGTTCACAACCTCTTGATGCTTTCTCATGCCATGCAGTTCTTATGACTTTTAGTGAATATTCCTTAAAGATGTACCTAAAGAAGCCTTCTGGTTCTTTTACTGTTTTGGGAAAACCAGCGTCACTCAGGTTTGTCCGTTTGTTATCATTCATCGTCACATAAGGATGCTACACCTCCTTACACCCAACATGTGTCTGTCTACCTATTCACTGTCCTCAGGGTCACCTGCAATTCTGATTTTGTTGAGAAAGTGATGTTCCATAATTCTCCAACAACTAGCATCACCAAGAGAATATACGTTAAAAAGATCAGCTTCTAAGACAGCAAGCTGGAATCATTAAAATCTTATTAATTAATTAAATCATTAAAATCCAGCATTTTTAAATGTCCAAATACATAAGATTACCGAGAAAAGTTCCATTTTCGACCCATCTCAGTTTCTAAAAACATCATCATCATCATCATCATCATTACTGTCATCAGTAAAAAATTTAGTCTAATTATTACTAATTTAAAATCTGTGAATCGATATACAGAATTTCCCTCCTTTAGGTCAAATAAAGAAATGCCTCACGTACACCAATACATTCATTCACAGCAGCACTTTTAGTGGTAACAAAAAACTGAAAACAAAAAAGATTCCCATCAACTGGGGAATGGCTGGGAAAAAATTCAGTATACTGAATGTAACAGAATATCATTGTGCCACATGGAAAAACAAATACGAGCAATTCAGAATAAAATTAAAATATCTGTTGATCTGATACTGGGCAAAGAAAGTAGAGCCAAGAGAATAATAACGATGACTACAGCAGTGCGAGTGCAAACTATAAACAAGCATGAATTAGGACTAAATTCAATGGCCAATCTTGGTTCCAGTGAACAGATAAAAAAAGGATCTACCCTCTTTTTGATTTAATGGGTGTAGAATACCTGCATATACTCTCAGATAGTCGCTGTTTTGAGTGGTTTTACTCAACCATTTTTCTTTGTTACAACTGAGGATTCTATGGAGGGGTGAAAGAGGGAGAGTAAAACTAGAAAGAAAGAAATGAAAAAAATGCATCAACAAAACTTTTTTTAATTGACCAAATGATTAATATATTTGTGGCATCACATATAACTGTTAAGGTTACATCCCTTCATATAAAATTGAACACTATAGCTTAAACTTTCTTTGAAATTTATTTTTTTGCAGGACATTCGCTCAAAGACTTCATTAAATCTATTCAATGAATGCTTATTAAATAAATTTAACATTTTAGATTCTTTGAAACCACAAAGATACAAAATTACTATCAAATTATGACCAAAGGAGGAAAAAATTAGTTCATAAACTAATTTCTGGGTTATGTTACTTAGTTTATTACTAGACTAACCTTAGGGTAGAGATTGTATCTTAACACATCTTCACAATCTTCAGGACCTTCTTTTCCAAGGCTTAACACAGAAAGCATGCACTGAGTAGGTACTCAAATGTTTTCTCAATTTTAATTACTTTGGGCTTAAGGGACTTGCCCAGGTCTCACAACTAGTAAGCATCTGAGGCCAAATTTGAACTCAAGTCCTCCTGACTCCTGGGCAGGTATTCTATCCACTGTTAATTACTTTCGAAACATCATTTGACTCTTCATAAGAAAGAACCTAAATTTTAGTCCAATTTAGTTACTCCCTTCTCAAGGTAGTGATCCTGGGCAAGTCACATCCTATCCCTAGGTTCTAGTTTCTTTAAAAGTAAAACGGAGATTCTGGACTTGATTATCTCTCAAATTCATTCCAATTCTAAGCTTCTCTGTTTCTAAGTAGAAAAAGGTATTACTAACTTGACAACAAAACTACCTGTCACAGCTAGTTTACACCTAACTCGAAGAGAGAAGCAAAATTAATTCATGACTAAGAATTTTAAAACGTACCAAATATGATGGACCATGGATCACAAAACACAGCAAAACAACTAAAAGCCAGGGAATGACCAAATGTTTCTCCTGAATTGAGTGCTGCATGTTTAATCACACTTTATCTGAAAGTTTTCTGATCAATTCTGAAAGTTTTCAAGCTTTTCAAATTAGCAAAAAATTTAAAGCATGACAAATTCAACCAGGAGGGCTATTTTCCTAGATATTCTGAACCTAAAAGAGTTGCTGCATTTTGCTAAATAAATAGGCTTTTGCTATTAGGGAAGGACCAAAACTATACTTCAACTGATCTTACAAGTATCTTTTGAATAAAAGTGTGTTTAAACACTTAGATATAACTAATCCTATGTATATTAACAAGGAGTCAATTTCCCTGTCAAACTATACTTCAAGAACTGATCAAGGTTTTTTATTAACTCCACAAGAAAGTCCAAGGACTTGGGAATTTGTTTTTCATACTCTTGATTAAACCAGCAGGGTATCATATGAATTCCCAGTTTTCAAAGTTTCATAAACAACAACAATCTTTCCTCATAATCTATAGGAAAATAAGTAGGAAAATGAAAGTACTCCGATATCTTCAGTAGACTATTTTCCACAAACAAAAATAACTTTCCACTCCAGAGATTAAGTAAAAGGACAACATCAGAAATGAAATGCTTTTCCAAAGTTACACCAACCTGATGATCAGACATTCAGTTTTATCTACTGGCACAAGTTGCCAGGGGAGATTTTTAGATCATGGTTTTAAAAACAAAAGATAGCTTAACCAAAGATTAAACATTGTTAATCTTAGACTGTCAACAGTACTTAGCAATATTTAGACATCTTGATGGTAAAGAAATGAATTCTCTGCCTCCAAACCCTGCAACAGAAGCCATAGAAATGCTCTTTGTGACAGAAAGTTCTCCAAAGAGCTGTTATGGTTTTTTACTGAATGTACCATATTTATGTATCATCAACTCATCGCACAGAAACCTCAGAACTATTCTTTTCCTAAGAAAGGGAATCTTAATGTACCAAAAAGTAAAGTAAGTAAATTCAGATTCCAAAATCAACACCAGAATTAACAATGTAAAATCTTAAGTATATATACACACTGGAATATCCATTCCCAATTGCCCTAAGTTAGAAAGGCTATTTTTACCACAGAAACTTACCATCTTCTACACAAATGAGTACTGATTTATTAATGTCAGTGTTGATGTGTAACTAAAATGACTATCAACATGAAAATTCTTTGTCATCAGTAAGTCATACTTTTTAACTCAATTCTTAATTACAAACAAGATATTTAACATTTCAATAAGATTTGAGGAAGTGAAAACAACATTCAGTATCAGGATAAAAAAAATAAATGTACTACAAAAAATAAATGTACTACAATTCAGTTTGAGCTGAAATTCACCAACAGTTCCCAATCAACTAAAAGAGGTTTTCCCCAAGTTGTTCCCTAGAATTCAGAAATCAGCACAAAACATGAAAATCACATTTACAACTTACCTGAATTCTCTGCTTTCATTGTATCTCCTATTTGATGAGGCCCGTTGGGGTGCTGTTTCCATGAGTAACTTCTGAGTTAGCCTGCTAGATGGAGCTGAATCTCTGCCATTATCTTCTTCTGTGTCTTGGTCACACTTCCATTCCTCATCCTCATTCAAAGTGGGCAAATATCCAGGTATACCTTTCCCTGTCCCTGACCCAGGGCTCTGATCACTAAAGATTTTAGGGCTTTCCAAACCCGTCCTCGTGTATTCCAAATAAATATCTGATTTAAGGAACAAGGGGTAGGTGTTATCCTCCATCATGGATTGGACCTCAGTTTGGGCCTGGTCAAACATGGCAGGATCAATGTGCTGTTTCATGATGCAATCTTTTATGAAGCTCTTTGTAGCTGGTTTAGTTTGACGAGAAACGATCCCATTATTATCAAGAATATATTTTCTGTAAATAGCTTTTGCCAACTTAAGCCTCTTTTCTTCATTGGAGTCACAGGGCTCCAATTTCCTAAAGCCACTGCAGGCAAACCAGAAGTCTAGCAAATCTGCAGAGTCTTCTTGCTTCAAGAAAGTCCTAAATAGATTTATTCCATCTTGATCATCCAGCAAAGAATGCAATGATTCAGCCCATTTCAAATATGGGGGTGTAGGTGAGGCACTTCCTTCAGGCTCATACCCCAAATCCAGATCTGATCGCCTCGGGGTGGCCATGGAAGTTTCACTTTTAATCCCATCGCCTTTCCCAAAATAAAAGCTGTGGCTGACTGGCCTGGGATCTGTGGAAACCAGTTCACCTTCCTCACCAGGAACTGGGGGCCTGGGAGCATCTTCAGTGAAGCTCCCCCCAAGGTCCAAGGGGAAACCCTGTTCTTGGACATTCATTTTGGGGCTCTGTGTTCGTCAAGGGATAATGATTGCAGCACCCTAATCTCAGTACACCAGTACTTATAGTTCCAAAGTGAATCAATCTGTCCTGTTGAAACCATTAAGAGGACAAGGATTAGGAAAAGTAGTCCTGTAGAAATACAGCTATTTAGGTTTTTTACAAGGCAAGACTACAGTACCCTGCCCTCCCACCACATGGACTGAAAATAAAGTATTTCTCAGGTTTTCAGCAAAATATTTATTTTTTAGTTTGTCCATTTTTGTTCCACTATTTGGAACAATGAACATACAATGCTTTCTTTAACTCAATATATAAACTAATTTGGTAACTTAATTATAAAATTATTCTTGCAATTAAATTTTACACAGACACACACACACACACACACACACACACACACACACACACACACACGCCATGAAATTTGGTCTAAGGTAGAGTCATGCCTGCCAGTTTTAAGATTGGAGGAATACTTTTATCAAAAGGAAGAAACCCTCAACTACAAAAATATGCCCCTAACCCCATCAAAACTCATCTTCACCATTCCAACTCCACTAAACATGGTTTTTAACATAGCACTTGGCTTTTTTATATAAACTTTTTTAATCCATAGAATATTTACTTTCTTTTTTAAGAGACAAAGCTTAATATTCTTTGCCAGTAATACCCTCAAATACATACCATGTATTCTCTATATATCACATAAATTTTGCTTGGAATTACTTACGAAGCTTCTAAATTACAATAAGTTTCACTAAGCTCAAAACAACAGAATAAAAAAAAAAATGTGTGATAACTTGGGATCTACCCAAAACTGCTAGTGGCAGGAAACACAGAAAAGAAAGTAGTCACTTTTTAATATATTTCTTACCAGAAAAGTATATTGTCAGCAACTGAGGGCCCTAAGCAATCTGAAGAATTCAAACAGGGTAAAAATATCATTACAGTGAAATCAGGCTATGGCTGCTAGCTAAGGAAGTGTCTCTCATAACCCCACTCTGGATTTTGATAACTCAATTATCATATACTAGATTTACAACAAGGTGTTATTAAATATCTGATTAACTGTAATAGACCAAGATGCTAGGAAAGACTCCCTCTCAGGTAGTCTCCCAGTTGGAGCTATTTGCAGGTGGCTAACAAACTCTTTAAAGATTTAAGTACTTACTTCCCTGATCCACACATGAGACATCTAGTTAAGTCCCAGTCCACCAGTGCCACCTACTCTGGTGTTAAGCCAAATACTGGGTTGATGACTTGTAAAATTCCCATGTGGTTTGACCTCATATTTTAAACATTTAAAGTGGGTCAAGTGCTGAAAGAGAGATCATCGCTTTACAAAGCAGATCTCAAGCAGCTTTGCAAATGAACCATGGCCAGAACCTTTAAAAATCAGGGTTGGCCCAAAGAAAATTAGGTAACAAGTACAAAATTATAACAGTTTACAGTTTATAAATCATTTTCCTCACAACAACCCTGTGAGGTAGGAATTACAAGTATTATTAATTCTCATTTGACAGAAGAAAAAAACTGACATTCGAGAAATAAAGAAATTTGTCTAAAGTCAAAAAGCTAGAAAGAGCGAAGACTACAACCAAGTCCAGCGCTCTTTCCACAATACTGTGCTGTCTCTTCTTCTGCTTCTTTCATCCATTTGCATGGCTCTCCATGGGAATCTATATTTATGAGGGTATCATTTTGTTTGCCTGAGATAGAGAACAGGGCGCTTACAGATGGCTAGGAGTGAGTGCCACTGATAAATGTGAGTTAGGTCACAATTATATGACCCAAATGGCATTTCTGTTGCTAATGATTTCTAAAAAATGATTGGCTGTGTTATAATCTCTATCTCAGCAGGGACAGCCAATTTCTTAAGGTCAAATCTCTCTATGTTTTGGTATCCAGCTGCTCTGAGACCACTTCAATTGAAAATTAATTTTTTCAACCAGTTCACATTTACTGAGCACCTGTGTGCAAAAGATTTCACTGGGTTATCAATATGTAATGTATTGTTGTCCACAATGCCATATTATGAAAGAAGATCAAGGCAATTAGCCACCCCGGAATTGGAATATATTAGACATGCTGCAATCCTCAAGAAATGCCTGAACAAAAATAATTTTGAAAGTGTAATTGCTAAATTACTTCCTAAAATGTTTGATGATTGTATGCTGCCTCACAACACCTTTTTCAATACATTACTGCTGATAGCTAATTTAAAATAGCATTTTATGGTTATAGGTTTTATATCTATTATCTTATTTGATCCTCACAACAACCCTGTGAGGTAGGTAGTGACAGGATTATTATCTCCACTTTACAAATCAGGAAACTGAGGACCAAAAAAAATGAAATGACTTGCCCAACATGACACAAACAGGTAGCAAAAGAGCTTAGAACCCAAGCTTCCCAACTTCTAATCCAATGTTTTTTCTACTATACATATTGCTTTTCTATGTTGTTTTCTAAAGCTCGTATTGCAATTTAATTTGTGCATATCTTGTTTTATATTTCTGTTTACTATTTATGCCCCACAATACACTGAATTTAACAGGTCCTCAATGAATCTTATTAATTTACAATATAGCAGGGTCTTGCACAAAGTTGATATTCACCAAATATTTGTCAACTAATTTGTTTTAAGTGAAATTTCTGAAATGCTTAACTTTGGATATTCCTTTGTATTAATGATTTAGCATCAAATGTTTCATTACAAAGCTGAAGCTGTTAAAACATCAATGCACTAATCAAATGTGTTTATCAAATACACCAAAACAAGCATGGGATAATGGAATGAACTCTAGACTAGGAATCAGAAGACTTAAGCTGTATAGGTGGTGTTACCGCTCCTGAGTTGTGTGACCTTGGGCAAAGCACTTAACTCCTGGGGCTTCAGTTTCCTCATCTGTCAAAAGAGGGAGTCGGACTAGATCACCTTCCCCTTCTTTTTCTGCTCTATGATCATGTTAAACTTATCTTTTCCCACACAAATGAAATATTTCAGATTCTTTCCACCTACAAAGGTTGTCAATTAACACATGACAGGAGACCCCTGCTATCTCTACAAGCACTAAAAGGGAAACACCTCCCGCCAAATCATGCAGACTGGTAAAACATACTCTACTCTTTGATTCTCAGTCTCCGACACAGAAGTGAACCAATACAAAGTCCCATCACTCACTCACTCACTCACTCACTCAACAAATAAATAAATAAATGCAGTGAAATTAATTCACGCTAGAATAAAGTGACCACAGATATGCAACCTGGCCCAGAGCCTGTAACCTCCAACAACAAAGTTCTTCCTTGAAAGGAATGTGCTTTTAAAAGTCTGATATGCCTTTATAATTTAAAGATTGCATAAGCTCCCTTCCTGAGCACCATGTGTCTGGACTCTTTAAAAAGTGATGTGATCACTAACTTGATTCTCCCCCCAACAGAAAAAGCTCAAGAACATTATTTCAAACCAGACCAAGGGAGGACAATTCAAAAGCTACTGAAAATCAAACAGGAATATGGTCTTTTAAGTGACATCCTAACCTTTTCCCCCAGCTGAATTTCTTAGAATTGAAACTGAGCTATTCTTACACATTGTTTCAGGTCAGGTACAGTTTCCCACCCAACCAGACTATATGTGAACTCCTGTAGAAGGCTGGGGATCCAAGTAAACTTGAGACACTTCCTGCAGGGAGAAGCATAGAACCTTATTGTGCAGCCAAAAAAAAAAAAAAAAAAAAAGCTAATCTCCACAATAAAAACCCTTTGTAAAAATATTTTAGAGTTGGGCTAAATGAAACCACCAAAGTATTGATGTATTTACTCTTTTGTCTTCAGAAGTTAAAGTTTTACCAACTCTCTGCATCACTGGTTTTGAGACTGCCTAAAGCTTCCTTGGGGGGAAGAGGGGGTGACTTCTAAAGAAAAAAAAAAATCACCACTAGGTGAGGCTTAGTCTTTGGCCACAAAGATAGGTTTGTTACCTATCATCTTGGAAGGTTATAAAAGCAAGGCGCTACCCCTGAATTCTGAGGTCAAACCACATCTAGTAGCACAAGTTGTACAGAAAAACAATAGTCTTTCTGTTTGGGGGTATTTCTATGCCTTAGTCTCTTAATACCCCTCCTTTAAGTCTAAATCTGGGATTCTAACAATCGATTTAACCAATCTCCAACATGGTAGTATTCTTCAACCCGACCACCCAGTAGTCCACCTATGAGACTGACTCTAATTTGATACCCGCCCTACTCTATTCTCAGGTCTCCTTATTTGGACCATCTTTTCTTCACATTTCTCTACATTTAAATGCAGATACATTCAACCATCTCTCTCCCTTCTTCACAACTTGAGATTTTCATCACTCTGGAAACTTTTTTGGGGGGGTGTCAAAGGACAAGGTTGGCGGTGGGTGAATTAAGAGCCTTCTGCTCAAATAGCCCTCCACATATAAATTCCTCTATCCTATTTTACATATATAAACTAGCTATACTTCATGAACTGCTTTGACCTCTGCCACATTCTCTTCCTGAGGCCCCCAAAGCCTTTCCCTTTCTACCCTACATTCTCATACTAACCTCCAGATCCATCATTCAGTCTTCTTACACTCACCTACATTTTCACGAGATCCTGATCTCATAAACTCATAAGCAAGTCTACCCTAAGCTCCTCGTCTACCTAAGCATCCCCTGACACTCCTCCCAAATACCATTTTCTATCCTCACTCCTCAAGCATCCCCAGGTCTCCTCATCACTCTGTTCTCAGGCATCTCCAGATACTGTTCAGACACTTTCCTCTCCTCCTCTCAGGCACTTCCAGGTTCCCCCTTCCCTCTCCTCTCAGGCACCCCCAAGTCCCCCTTTCCTTCTCCTCTGACACCTCCAGCTCCCTTCCCCTCCTCTCAGGCACCCCCAGCTCTCCCTTCCCTCTCCTCCTCTCAAGCACCCCAAGGGGTCCCCTTTCCCTGTCCACTCAGGTACCCCCAGCTCCCCTCCCTTCCCCTCTTCTTCTCTCAGGCACTCCCAGCTCCCCTCCCCTCTCCTCTCAGGCACCCCCAGATCCACTTCCCTCTCCATCTCTCTGGCACCCCCAG